TAAATAAATTTAGAAAACTCAACTTTGTAATGACAAGATAGAGAATTAGTAGATGTAAGCAAAGCATAGTAGCAACCAATCCATATATAAAAATTAGTAAACGCCTCTCTGAATTATAACAAAATGCTTCCCATTCTCAAAAACATCTGCATCCACAGTTCTATTTAACATTGTGTCTAGGTTCTAGTTTTTAATACTCAGGATCATGCTTTAGTTTAATCAAGGCTGCATTCAAGTACTCTAAACTCCAAATGTTTTTATTATTCAAAATGTATAGAATGTTTGAAGAAAGCAACTTTTTTGTTGTGGACTACTTATATCATGTTAGACTCTGCTCTGAACACTTGGAATGTTTTATCTCATTTACTACTCCTTACTGTATATCTCTGGAGTCCTGGTGTGACGCTGTGGGCTAATGTGTCAGACTGCAAAGTCATTTGAACTGAAAGGTCAGTGGTTCAATCTCACCAGCTGCTCCTTGGAAACCCTATACAGGGTTGCTATGGGTCAGAATCAACTTGATGATACTTAACAACAAAAACAACTCTGTATCTCTGGAGTCCTGGTGTGGTACTGTAGAATAAGCCTTGTACTGCAAGGTTGATTTGAACCACAAGGTGACAGTTCAAATGTACCAGCCACACCTTGGAAACCTTATACAGGTTCACTATGTGTTGGAACCAAATTGATGTCACTTAACACCAACCCTGTCTCTGAAGTTATTATTAACCCATTTTGCAAATGTGAAACTTATTAAGTAACCAGCCTAAATGATGAAGCAGATCAAGGATTTAATTGTGGGTAGTGTAGTGGTTTCGTGTTGGACTGCTATCTCAAGGTCAGCTGTTCCGTGGGAGAAAGAAGAGACTTTCTGCTTCCCTAAAGATTTACAGCCTCAGACACCCTATACAGGGTCGCTATGGGTTGGAACCAACTCGACAACACTTAACAACAACAATCTGACTACAGAGTCTGCTAATTTAGAGATTTATCAGGTTTGGTCATTCATCTAATAAATCTACTCACTATGTTTTCTAAGCAAGACAGCAATCATTCTGTGAATGTGCTCTTGAATGACATTCTAGCGTTTAGCTAATTAAAAAAAAACAAACAAGAAAAAAAACTTTTGTTTAAATATATTCATCATTTGAAATATTTGTTAGGCTAGGTCTGAAGGAGCTAGATGTTAAATATTGCACATGGAATTTTTAGCCTATTTCCATATTCCTCTTTTATCTCTGTATGATTTGCTTAGTTTTAGCCAGTAAAGATGTGTGAAAGAAATAACATTCAGGAGTATGAATTTATTTTTAAACTAATCATACGCTCAGTATGGATACAAATTCATTTTTTTACTGATTCAAAACTGTCATAGTCTAGAAAAATGCCTTTCAGTTCAACTTGTATCTACTTTATTTTCCTTATGGAAGTATGTGTGTATTTTAAAAAAAAAAACAAAACCACAACACAAAAAACATGTTTTAGTACATTAGATTTTAAAAACAGTTTAGGCTCTCTAGTAGCGTAGTGGTTACTAATCGGGCAGCTAACCTCAAGGTCGGCAGTTTGAAACTATCAGCGGTTCCGCTGGAGAAAGAGGAGGTGTTCTGCTCCGGTAAAGATTTACAGCCTTGGAAACCCTGTGCAGGGTCACTATGATTCGGAACCGACTCCACGGTACGTAACAACGACACAACAAGGCTTTAATGTAGGCCTGGGTGGGAAAGAATCTCACTTGAGTAAGATAGGTTGACAAATAGGATATATTGAGAATCTGAAGAATATATATTACTTTGCATAAGAATTGCAGTTGAAAGAAAAGTGGTACATTATAACATATAAGGTGTTACAGATATATCTGTCTGAAGAATTGTGACAAATTTCTATATCCAAGTCTACACCAATCCGACTCGACATCACTTAACAACAGCAACATCTTTAATTCATAAATCCTAGGTATTTTAAAGACAGCTGCATTCTGAATGGCATCAGCAAAGTACTTTGTGCTGATTCAATACTGAATCTGTTGTTAAACTTAAGTTTATTTGGTAGCTTATTACTTGGTTTTGTTTCTGAGGAATTCATTTTATTTAGACATATATATTAACATGGCACAAAACTCTAAGGATAGAGATTTATGCTCTATTTTTACAAAATATCTAGACTATGTTCTCTAAGGCAAGATAATCTTAAAGAAGTAGATTTCTAAAATATAATACTTGTTCAGAGTGAATTCATCGAGTTTTCTAAATAAGTGATGAAATAAAATGCTTCATTGGCTATACTATCATATATTCATTCCCTTTGTTATTTTTATGAAATACTTTATATTTTGTAATAGCAAGCAGCTCCATCTACCTTTGGCCTACAGACTGGATACTAAGAAGACAGAATCTAGCAAAAATGTATTAATGTGTATTGAATGCCAAAGTGATGGTAAGGGTGTCAGACAGATATCCATCATGGTGAGGAGTTAATATCTATATCTACATTACATTCTAATTGATGGCTCTGTCTGATGTTTGAAAAGCGTTAAATTGCTGATGTACATGTGATGGAATACCTATTGTCAGGCTAGAGATGAAAACTGTGCCTCATCCTTGCAGTTGGGTTTTAAATGATTTGTAGAGAAATGACTTTGAATGTTTGTATTAAAGGTCAGAATTAGATATGGCACACTTCTGTAGAAATTCCTGTGTGCCAAGTCTTACTTAAACATAAACTTATGTTCTATGATTCAATTTCTTAAAAAGCCTTTAGAGAGACACTGACTCATTAAAATAAGAGAAAAAAAAAATCCAGAGAACTGTGCTGGGACAGTGTCTGAGTAAATTAATCAATAATGCATGAATTGAACAGTTATAGAAGTAAATAAAATAATAGCATGTCAAAATTGCAGCAATTTATTGATGCTTAAGTCAAACAAACAAAAAATTTACTAGTGTTACAAAATTGCAGTTTACAATGTACATTAAAATAAAGTGGATTAAAGGGTATTTAACATTAATTTACAACCAATGAGTAGTCTTATATGTTATAACACTACAAGTCTTGTTGTTGGGAAAGTATTCAAATATCACTTTTCTCAATGTAATAGAATTGTGCATTTGGGTCTCAGTTTTCTCCTCTGTAATATGGAAGGGTATAGAATCATGGATTTCAGAAATTATGCATTCGATTACCTTCAGATCCTTTACTGTTTTCTTTTAAGCATTTTTTTTAAACCAACTATAATTTAGATTCTTTATCATTTAATCAGCCACCACATAACCTAATCTGAATAATTATGTCAAATCCAAATATACATCATGCCTTTTTTTTTTTTTTTCATTATTCCAAATACATTTTTTTTCAGTTGCGTTGAGTTGGTTCTAACTGGTGTTGATCTACCTTTTGAAAATTACCAGAACTATACCACCTTTACAATGTCTTTCCAGGAATCCCATCCCCCCAGTATCTAGAACTGTGCTTCATAGGATTTCTAATGGCTGTACTCTTTCAAACGTAGATCAATCAGGCATTTCTTCAAAGACACCTGTGGGTGCACATAAACTAGCAACTTTTCAGTTAGTAATCAAGGAGTTGATAATTTGCACCATCTGAAATCATTTCTGATGCTAGTCCAAGCTAGTAGGAACACGGGGAAGGAGGGAAGAAAGAAGAAAAGGGGGATGGAAAGAAAAAGACATGTTCTGCAAAATCATCCCTGATTCTATTCTAATACATAGCTCCAAATGTCTCACCTGTATGATAATAGTTTTTGTATCACATGGTGATTTTTATTTATATTTTAGTCTATACAAATAGACTAAAATATAAACAAATAATTAGTCTATGTTTTTTGTGTGTGCATGTGTGTGTGAATATTGTCCTGTCTCCTCCAGTTTTCTACAATCGCTTAAAGAATTATATAATTTACCCTGTATATTTGAACTTATTTTATTTCTACCAATATTTATTTCCTCATGTCTTGTCAAGAGCATTTCAGATGTCAGTGTTACAGGGGAGCCTTCCCAGCATTATCAGTTAAAATCACTCATTCCTATCTCTGTGTTTCTTGTCACTTTACATATTTTGACATACTGATTTATTTGAATATTTGACCCTGTGGTTGGAATGTACCCTGCTTGGAGAATACAGACCCCATTATCTTTACCTTCATAGCCTACCTAGTGCCTGACATGTAGTTGACACTTAGTTTGTGAGGGGCAGGGTTCAGTTTTCAATCTAATGCAACAATTCTTCCTAGACAAAATTACAATGTGTATTTTGTAATATTCAGTTGTATTTGAACTTGCTTAAAGCCTCTGAATGTTTAGTTATATGGGCCTGTGCCAGCCAAGAGTGGAGTTGTGTAAAGCTACAATAATGGGCTAATGCAGCTATGTTTTATAAAGTCCTTGTTTATATCTTTTTCGTTAGAGTTCAGCTGTCAGCTACTAGCCCTAAGGCAGTTATCTAATCAAGTTCCAATTGAGCACCTGTTCTTTCGCCACCACAGTGGGGCAAACAGAAAGATCGTAAAAACATAGTGAAAGACCTAAGAGACCAGCTAAGGTAGCAAATCTAATACACACAAAATGTAAGTGTAAATACTCTTAATCTGCAACCATAATACACTAGTGGTTTACTGAATGTAGTGTAAAGACCACTTGCAGTTAATTAGTCCAGTTATCCTAATACCACTCCACAGGACATAGCCAACTGTCATCCAGAACTGAGTAGGGGAGAAAGATCTCCATCTGCTACTCCGGCAGCAAGGTTATGAAACCAAACTCTCCAGTCTGGCCAAAGCCTTCCTCTTTGGATGTCTGCCATCCTGGGCATATATTTAAAGTTCACTGAATCAGGGCAGTGCATGTTCCTAATTCCTTGGTAACTTTTAAATTTTCCAATGTTTTGGTAACTTATACTATGTATCATATTTTGTTTTTGTATTTCTGTAGAATTGCTACTTTGATCAGTTCTGTTTATTCCTGGCCTGAATTTCTGTTTTCAAAATGTACTCTGGTAATATAAACTATCCTAGAATCTTATATTTTCCTTAATTTACCAAATCATAATTGTATTGTTTCTTAAAATTTTTATGTGATCTTTACAATTCATAAGCACTTAAATATTTTCCTTCATTATAATACACTATTTTCCATTGTTACGTAGTCGTGACTTAATATTTTTATTATTTGAACTTCAAAGACTAATTATGCATGTACTTTAAGAATGTTTTTAATATCTATTTTTATTTTTCTATAGTAAAATAAAAACTAAGATTAAATCATTAATATATGATTTTCCATAGGAAGGATATCTTTCTCTGATTATTGCCGTTAAAATTTTATGACTGCAAGTATGATTTATTGTTTTTTGCTGTTGTTGTTTGTTTGTGTTTATCTTATGGGAGTTTCATTTGTTTTAAGGAAATATACATCTCTACTTTCACAGGTAAAAAGATGGCCTATCAGAAAGTTAATGCAGATCAAAGGGCTCCAGGACAGTCACAATACTTAGACAATGATGACCTTCAGGCCACTGCCCTTGACTTAGAGTGGGACATGGAGAAGGAATTGGAGGAACCTGGTTTTGATCAGTTCCAGCTGGAGGGTGCTGAAAATCAAAACCTGGGGCAGTCTGAGACTGAAGACCTTAATCTTGATCCTATTCAACCAGCAATATCACCCAAAGGAAGATTCCAGAGACTACAAGAAGAGCCTGATTATGTCACCAGTTATACAAGATCCACACCAAAGAGCAACCGCTGCAGCTTTTGCCGCCTTTTGAAAATACTTTGCACGGCAACCATTTTATTTATTTTTGGGATTTTGATAGGCTATTATGCACGTAAGAGTTGCCTTTCAAATGCTGCATCTTCAGGAACAGGTGATCCTCAGTTATACCAAGAGATCCTCAAGGTTATTCAAGCAGAGCAGATTAAGAAGTTGTTCAGGTATGTGAAGAAGCAATGGATATTGGGGGGTGGGGGGATGCGGTTCTGGGAAACGTATCGTACAGGGTGGTATTATACTGGTGATTTTGTCAAAGTTTAAAGGCATCTTGAAAGTGGAGAGACCAAACTTGCTGGCATGAAAAATAGATATTTCTCTCTAAGAGGATGTACATTTTCATATTTATGGCACAGAATGCAAATTCAGTCCTGGTGTGGCACAGTGCGCTAATGTGTCAGCCTGCAAAGTCATTTGAACTGCAAAGTTGGTGGTTCAAGATCACCAGCTCCTCCTTGGAAACCCTATACAGGGTTGCTATGTGTCAGAATCAACTTGACAGCACTTAGCAGCAATACAAATTCATGATACTATTTTATTGATAATAAAAATTATTCCTACTGCACTTTTTATTAACATTTATTCCTACTATAAATTATTTATTATATATTTATTCCTACTAGAAGTTATCATTTATTCCTACTAAAAATGATTCCTACTATAATCCAATCACTGAAACCCCAGGACCCCTGATGAACTACTATGGAGGTTCATCAGGGGTCCTGGGGTTTCAGTGATTGAATAGTCAGCTGCTAATGAAAAGGTTGGAGGTTCAAACCCACCAGCCATTCCACAGGAGGAAGTTGTGGCAGTTTCATTCAGTAAAGATTACAGCCTTGAAACTCCCCTTGGAGAGCTCCACTCTATCGTATGGGATCACTATGAGTTGGTATCCACTCCATAGCAATGGGTTCTGATGGTACAATAATTGAATCTTCCAACCAATGCCTTTTCTTTCCATTAGGAAACACAGGTAGACCAAATAGGGATGTATAGTTTGCAAAATATATGTTGAGTGAAAATTTTGGCAGTATCTATATGACTGAAAATGTTAATGGCATCACAGTAAAATAAACCTGCATTATTGGTTGAATCAATTATATAGTATGATCAGGAGGTATGGTAGACACTGAGTCGGGTCTTCTGCATCCATGAGCTTTCCAATAAGCACATTTCTGTTTAAACACATAGTGTACCGTGCATTATAATTTCAACAGCTCATCTCTCTCTTTCAGAAAATTTAGACCGAGCTAGAATGTGTTCATTTTTAGGTGAAACTATAAGAAAATATTTTTCGTAGGCCTTATTTCTGAAAAGATCTGTTTATGTCATGTAGTGCCTCTAGTGGGTAGCTTGAAAATGCTTGTTGTTTGTTTTGTTATTAGTGTATATGTTGCTTTGTAAGGATTTCTTTAGTTTAAATATTTAGTGAATGAAGAACTGTAAGGGAAAAACATGATATCATACACAGATCTTCTACGTATATCTTCAATATTTACATTTAAAGGATAGTCCTAGGTGAATCATGTATGTTGTCTCAAGGTAGGTGTTATTGTACTGCTTCTCCTGAAAAAGATATTTCCAGGCTATAACTGATTTATTACAACTGAGATATTTCCAGGAATGCATTTTCAGAGATCTTCCCAGGACAACATGGCCACTGAAGATGAATAGTTTAATGCCTATATGAAATCTCTCATGAGTGGGTGCTAGTGAGTTATTCTTTTCTTAATAGTCGATCTGAGTTACTGATGGAATTTTGTTTTCTTTACTCTTCAATGTGACTTTTCACTGTTACATCCCTACATATCCTATGTGATATTAAGTAGTAAAATGCTACATGTTATTTTACCAGGTAAAATTATTTTATACTGAATAAAGCATGAAAGTCGTTCTGCTGTTTTATGATGAGTGGTTGTATTGGTCGGGATTCAAGCACGACAATATAAAACTCCTTAAATATTTAAAGCAGCAAGCACATTAAGTGAGGAAGGATTCCATTAGTGAGGGGACATTGAGGTAGCCCAGAGATTAGCAGCAAAATGAAGTCATTATGAAATCTAAACTGTGGTATTTATATTTCATATATTCCACATTATGATTATTAATATTGTTTGCAGATGTTTCTTTTCACTTTGAAAAGTAAACATCAAGTTTAAATAAAAGTAAAAGAAGGTCCTGAAAGCTTTGTTCCATTCACATCATTAAAGTAAACTCTAATTTGAGGAGACAGTTCTTCCCCGGTTGTATTTTCAGTGCCTTCCAACACGAGAGGCTCCCTTTGGGCACTATATCAGATAGAGTACGGCTGCTACTCATAAGTTTTTCAGTGGCTGCCTCTCCTTCCTGGTTTGTTTTATGCTGCTGTTGTTGTTGATAAGTACCGTGCAGTTGGTTCTGACTCAAAACGACCCTGTACAGGGTTTTCGAGGCTGCAAATCTTTATAGAAGCAGAAAGCCTCATCTTTCTCCCACGGAACAGCTGGTAGTTTCGAACTGCTGACCTTGAGGGTAGCAGCCCAGTTCGTAGTGTAGTGTAGTGTAGTGGTGTTGGAGGAGAATCCTAAAAGTGCCATGGACTGCCAAAAGAACCAATAGATCTATTTTGGAAGAAGTGCAGCCAGAGTGCTCCTTGGAGGCCAGGATGGCTAAGCTTCGTCTCTCATACTTTGGACATATTTTCAGGAGGGAACAGTCGCTGGAGAAGGGTGTCATGCTGGGTAAGATGGAGGGTCAGAGAAAAAGAGGAAGACCCCCAACGAGATGGATCAGCCAGGTGGCATCATTGATGGCGTCAAGTGTGGTGGGGTTGGCCCGGGATCGGACATTGTTTCGTTCTGCTGTGCATGGGGTTGCTATGAGTCGGTTCCAACTCGATGGCACCTGACAACAACAACAACATTCCTTGGCCTAAATATGATGATCTGTTTTGGAGCCAGAGATGTTTGTGAGTGTGTGTCAAGTGTTTGCTCCTGACCTGATCAGCCTTGGCCAGTTAGGATTCCAGTTACCTTGCATTAAACATTTTTACTTGGGATTGTTGAGGGAATTCTTTAATTTATAAGATGCTTTGACTGTGATAGCTATCATGTTTTGTTCCTATTATAAAGTAATTTGACACTTTTTAAAATACTTTTTAATCTATGGCCTACTTACATGCATACACACATGTATGCATACATATATACATGAATGCTAAAAATACTGAATGAAGTAAAATGTTTGTTGGAAACTTCAAAGTAGACCAGCGAATACGATGGTGTAATAAGTTATTTGAAGTGAAGGAACCAATGAGCTTAAATATATTTTTGCATGCAGGAATGTGTTTGCCTTTTGACAGCTGTAGATGATATAAAATGGTGAGAAGAAAATGTGTTATGTCCTAATTTTGGCTAATAGAGCTTTTTAATATTTTTAACAGGAAAGAATATTATTGGTTTTTGTAATTATGAGTATAATAAATACAGAACATTATGAAGAACAAAGTAAAAACCATCAATAATTCTATTATTTTTTATCCCATTTTCAAACTAATTTAATTTCCTTATTAATCAGCAAATCTGCTGACCCTATCAATTATACCACATACACACTTTTACTAATCTGCTTTATAATCTATTCTTTACGTAAAATACATATTCAAAACCATTTTTCGTGAAAGCATTACTTTAAAAACTGCCTTGCATTTTATTATATCTATGTAAATAATTTACTTAACCTGTTTTCTATGGGTGAGCATTTAGATTATGCCTGTAAATGTTTTTTGTATGTAACCTTTGTGAGCTTATTTAATTATTCCTTCCCTAAATTTCTGGAAGCAGGTAACAGCTTAAGGGAGTTTAAATTTGTTTAGATTTCTCTTTGTTTTAACAAATTACCTTCCAAATCATCATTATTCTTTATTTTTAGATAGATGAAGCAGTGTTAAAAATCTTTCATATAACTTAGAATTTGCAATTAAAATTTTTTTTCTGCATGAATGGGCTATTTTTAAAAGCATTTTAGCCATGGCTCATGTAAGTTCCTTTCTATGAAGAAAGTTCCTTTCTTTTACAAGTTCAGAAACTAAAATACTAAAATGGTAAACTACAGCTTGATGAGAGCTTATTATGATTTTACTTAGTTCTGGATTTTCTTTAGGAGTAGAAGTTTTATTGGTTAAATTAAAACATGGTTTGGAAAGCAACAATAAAACAAATTCTTAGAGATTTATCTATTTTTTAAATGGCTGCATTATTTGGTACAGGTAAAACAGCATGAATTATGTTATATTGGGAAATGGTCTTTATAAACATAAGTAAAACATATTTTAAAGAGTTTCTTAGCTAGTGATATTAACTCTTGGAAAAGTTTAAGCAATGTTATAAATTATTTTCAACAATACCATGATGAATGCGAGTTTGTTGGAAATCAAGTTAGTATCCAATGTAGTTTCACATATAGGCATATTTTTGTAATTATTTATTTCATGGTAAATGATAGATCAAATGGATTACCAAATCAAGTTTATTTTCTTTCTTTTGAAATATATTTTTAAAGACTGTCTTCTTATTCTTGGCTTACTTTTCCTCCTTTTACTTATTACTTTTCTTTCTATTCTCTCACCTTGTGAAAAACAGGTTGTCACTATAGGAAAAGCACTGAACTGTGAATTACAAGTCAGCAGTTCAAACCCACAAGTGCTCCTTGGAAACCCTATACAGTGCCATTGAGTCGGAACTGACTCGATGGTGCTTAAAAACAACAGAAACATATGCATATATGAAAATACATATACAGATTTAGTTATATGTGTGTATTGTATATACATAGTGATATATATACATTTAGTTAAGGAGCTCTGGTAGTTGTAGTGGTTACGATTTGGGCTGTTAACCTAAAGGTTAGAAGTTCAAAACTACCAGTTGTTTCATGGAAGAAAGATGAGGCTTTCTGCTCCTGAAAAGATTTACAGCCTCAGAAACCCAATATAGGGTCGCTATAAGTGGGAACTGATGCCATAGCACACAACCACCACCACCACCACTATACATTTAATTAGGGAGCAAGGTGCTCTGTAGGTGGCCTGGGAACCTCAAAGTCATCTTTGGGGCTCACCAGTTACTTCATAGTTGAAAGATGAGACTTTCTGCTCCCATAAATATTTATAGCCTCAAGTATCCTA